AAAAAAAAAAAAAAAAAAAAAAAAAAAAAAAAAAATCCGAAGAACATACTAATTTTTAGTCAAAAGTGTTCCTTTTTTAACATCAAAAGTTAAAATTGTTATCCCTTTAAAAAAAATGCTTAAGAGTGCATTTGGTTTACTGCGTAGTACAATTTAATTTTTATAAAAATTATATATGTAGGAATATTACTTTTTTTGTTGTTACTAAATTTGAATGTTACGTTTGTTAACTTTCATTTCCCACATAAGTATTGTATGCATAAGAATTTATTGTATTTGTTTGTGTGAATAGAAAGTGAAATAGCACAACATCTAATAATAATATAAAGTATATTCTTAACTGACTGTTCTTGACCACACCTTGAAAATAAGTATTTTTTAAATTTATGTGCAATGATCTAGTCAAAATTGAAAATCAGTTATTCACTTTTAAGAAAGTATGTGATAGCATTTATAAAGTAAAATTTTGAAATTCACAGTTTCTCTAAACTACAACTTGTGTTAGTTGCTAAATGATAAAACCAATTATTGACTTACTATTACCATTCTTTCCTCGAAAATATGAGTAACAATTAAACTTGTTTATGATTTTAAAGATATGTGATTTAATTCAATACTAATTAATAACCAAGAAATCAAACGATAAGTTAAGGAAATAAGTTGAATCAAACCAGTGCTTAGGCCAATCTTGACCTCGAGCTGTGACGGCCTCGAGGTAGGTCCACAAGAACAATAAAGTAAAGACAATAAAGCTAATAGACAATTCTGATGAATAATGAGCAAGAAAGTAAGAAAGTATATTCTTTTGCCAATGATTGATGATCGTTACAAATGATTGGGGTCCCCTTTATATAGTAGGGGAACCCTAAATAAGGTACAATTCTATTTATAGTAAGGAATCTTATTGGGACAACTGTCTAACCGCCTAGTACGGATTCGTACTAACTCGTACAAATCTATTCTGGAATTTAGGCCATGATCTTGGGGTTGTGGCGGGAATCTTGCTATTTCTGTTACAAAACCATAACAGTATTATCTCGAGACTGGTCACGTTCGGCCTCGATATTCGTCAGACACTTAGATCTTCGAACTCTGCCATCAGCCTCGAACCCAGTATACTTCAAACTTATTCTTGAAGTGGTTCCTTGAGCCCACTAAATCGAGCATACTTGATTTTGACGGTATACAGATTGTCCCCGCGTTTCTTAGAATAAGATGATAAGAAACGATTTGAGCCTCGATTTTTAGGAGTCCCTGATGATGGCATCATCCCCGTGATGTAAGCGCTCAAGGTGACCGAAACGTCCCGTCGGTTTGCTTCCCCAAAACATTAAATGCGTGCCAGTAATGGTCGGCCACTAATATCGCCGCTTACCTATAAATACGGGGCTCCTTATTTGAATTAGCGACTGTAGTTCCTTCTTGCAACTTTTCTAATTTCTCCCTCTCTTCATCTCTTTCTCTCACCACCTGCTTCTACCGCCCTTTTAATACCAAAAAAACACCACACTCCGCCACCTTCCGAACCCAAAATCATGGCAAAAACCTCTAAAATAGTTCCTCAAAAGGAAAAGGCTTCCTCCTCTTCCTCCCTTCCGGCCGGTGACAAAGCACCGGCCCTTCACGAGATCGTTCACATCGCTTGCGTCATAAAGAAAGACTTCAAAGTCGAGAACCCCTCTGCATTTCCCGGCCGATGTGAGCATGCATCGAGGTATATCTGTTCGATAACGGAGAAACACCTCGAGGTTGTGAAAAAGGATTATGGCTGGGGGGATGAGGTCGTGGTACAGATCCTGACCCCCGAGGAGAATGTCGCCACCCACGTGGAGGGGTTCCTGAGTGTTTACACTTACCCCTTCACACTGGTCCTTTTGATCCGATCGTGATTGACTTGTGTAAAAGATATCAAGTCACCCTCGGCCATATCCACCCCTCTTTCTAGCGTATAGTGATCATGCTCCGCTATTTCTCCAGCAAGGCCAAGGGACTAGAGTTCACCCTCAATCACCTCATCCGATTGTATCGGCCTTAGCTTTTCCGAGGATTGATCAAGCTCCAACGTCGATCAAGCAAAGCCTTCTTTGATAGCAATGATGAGGAAAAAGACCAAGGCTAGATGAGCTGGTTCATTCGAGTGAGGACCTCGGACGTCATCCCCGAGGAGAAAATGTCGTTCCTAGAGAAGTGGAACCCCGATCGTAAGTGAAATCCTTTCCCGATATCCTCTTATACTCCGTTTCCGCATTGTGTGGTGCTTTTAACTTTTTTGAAGTTGTTTCTTGGATGCCCCATGCGATCCCTGACATCGAAGACTGGGTCTGAAAATTAGCTGCGACCTCCTCTTATGACAAGCCAAATGGCGTGACTTGTCGAGGGGCAAATGGGAAGCCAAACACCATGGTAAGTTTTTCTTTGTAAGTTTTTTATGCTTTCCTTCTTTACTGAAGTCATTTCTTTCCCTATACTCAATTTTTAATTTACGCAGGCATTGGAGATTTCTCCGAGATGAGGTCGGCCCCTCCTGGGAAGAAATCGAGTCCCCGATTCTTAAATTGGGAAAAGATAATAAGAGGAAGAGGGTTTCGAAGCCCGAAGACCCCCAAGACAAAAGGGCCCCTACTCGAAGACGTAAGAGGAATGTTATTCATGTGGACGTAGACTCGGCCCACCAGTTTCTGGATGATGAAGAAAACAAGGGCGAAGAATCGACGCTAGTGACCCGAACTAGGAAACTAGTTAAGGCCGCCAAACCCTCCGAACCGGAGACCCTGCCTCGTGGTGAGGAAACTCCGAAGAAAGACTCGGGAAAAGCCCCTAAATCGCCTGGGGTCGAGATTATTCCTCCACCTTCAACAAGTACACCACAGGGGACAAGTACCGAGACCCCCGGGGATGAACAGAGCGCCCCGAATGACTTGCTCGAGGCCGTGACAATAGGCCACTCTCCTTCTTTACCATCTTATTCTGAGGAGGCAATAAAGGAAGCTCAAGCTTTGCGAACGCCTGACCCGAGCAGAGTCCCCGTGAACAAGATCCTTTCCGGGATTGATTTACTGGGGTCGATGATGTCGCCGACCTCAATGATGCATCTACCCTCTTCGAAGAGGCTCATCGTCTTTTCTCCCGAGTAAGTATTAGATCCCGCTGTTGCAATTTTTTCTTCTCCCCTTTTCTTAACTGATATCTCTTTTTCTACGTAGGCCATTACCAAGTTTGGGGCAGAGCTGAGTCAATGTGAGGTCAAGCTCAAGAAATCCTCAGACGAAGGGAAGGCTCTGAAACTCCTTTGCAGTAAAAGGGAGGAGGAGCTCAAAGACCTTGAGGCAAACTTGTCCAAAGCTCGCAAAAATGAGGCCAAACTAGACAAGCAGATAACCATGATTTTGCAAGAGTATGGTATACTTGACCCAACTGTGGAGGCTAGCACTTTAGTGTCTCAGCTGCAGCAGAAATTGGAGATGATCGGGCAGCTTCGAGGGAGGTCGATCAAGTTAAGGCCGACTGCAACCAGTGGAAAGAAAACATGGATCGACTTGCTGCTGAGAAAGAGGCTGCTCTAGCCAAACTGGCCTTAGCTGATACCCAGCTCTGTGCTGTCAAAGTGAAAAATCTAGCCTAGGCCAAGAAGATCGATGAGCTCGAGGCCAAACCTGTCGCAACTAGGGCTGAGGTTGCTGAAGCCAGGGCCGAGGTCGAGAAGACGAAGGCCACGGCTAATAAGACCGTTGTTGTGTACCTAAAGGATGTTGAGGCTGCTCAAATGGAACTAAGGGAAGCCTCCAACTGGGAGAAACGAGTCAGTGATTGGACCAAGTGTCAATCCCTGAGGAATACCCTCGAAGAGATCCACGCTCGAGGTTTTGACCTCACCGAGGAGATAGCCCAAGCAAAAGTGCTCGAAGCCGATGCCAAGTTCCTCTTCTCCTCTGACGACAATGATGATGATGCCGAAGGCAGCCAAAGCGGGTCCGATAATGAAGTTGGGCCCGAAGAGGAAGCTGCTCCCGAGGGAGAGACCAGCCCTGGTCATAGATAGGATTTTCCTTCCTCTTTTTGTATTGTTTTTTTTTTGTAAGACCTTACCTAGGTCTTTTGTATATATCTTTTTCCAAGTATATAAAAGATAAATTTCCTTTAATGTTTTCTCGATATTTCCTGCCTTATAAAATTCTTGTAATGACTTCATTCTTTTTAACTGTGTTTGAGATTTTATCTTCGAAATTGCCATGGTCGAGTTCGAATAAGTTCAAACTTTTGGGCTATGACCTTTGTGGGCTCGTTCCGGATAATGATAAGTCCCCAAGCCATGATTAATCCATTATTTATTTAGGCTTGGGTTAATCAAACCCTTGGGTTCAGATCAGGTGAGAACAAGGTCTCGAACCCTAAGTGTATCGGCTCTTAGGCTCTTTTAGGTCAGGCCATTATGGCCTTTAAGAGATGGCTATTATTTCCCCTTTTCGGCTTAGTAGCCTTGGCATGCATTTTTTTACCCATTGGGCTTTTTGAGGGTTCGGTGTCGATCGGAACCCTTTGTTTTTAGTGCCTTAACACGAGTTCGTATTTGAATAATTCGATACCTCTTAAGGTTTTTCGAGGGCTGATTTTATCGAAGCCCTTATTTTGCTGAGGGTAGCCTTTATTTAACTGGTTTTGAGAATTTGAAGACCTATTTTATTGCGGAATTCGGACGTCTCCGAGCTGTGTTATTTTGGCCGTAGTCTTTAATATGGCTGTAGCCTTCAGGTGTGTCTCTTGG